TTCGAACATCGTGCGCGTCGAAAGAGAAGGATGGGCAAGGAACGACAAAGAGGGGAAGAGGATACTACCGGCAAGAGGTCAACCTCTACGGAGACCTCCGACGCGCGTTCTTTTCGTCGGCAGGATGTGCGCGCACGCGGTTGATATCCTTTGACCTTAGCACCGCTTAAACGTAAGAATTTCGACTCGATTTTGTCGCTTCGCACATTTTCCCTCCTCCTTTCTGAAAGTAACGCAAAATATTATTTTTTTGCATTATCGAGAAATAAATGTAAAAAATGTATCGTTTTCGTTGATTTGAATTTCGTTAACAAAATTTATTAATCTTTATTAAACGATTATTTAAATATTTTTCAAGCGAAAAATATTTGTAAATTGTTAAAAATTGTTATATCAAGGTTAGGTTAGATTTCGCACTCAGCACAGTGAATCGATGGAAATTGTTAATGATACGAGTGGAACGTAATTGTGTGGGTAAACGTCAACGTGACGGTGTCTTGATGTATAATTTAAATTGTTTTCAGCATTTCGTTTTTATGCGCCATGAACACTGTCATGGAGATTACTGTAAGAGGTCAAGTATAGCGGATGCTCGAGGATTTTTCGCGGAGGGGATGCGTGTACGGGGCATGCAGGTGATATCCTTTGACCTTACCGGTACTGAACAGGCTCTAATGCGGGCTCGAGTTTGGCTTCAAACTTGTGTGTGGATTTTAACGCGGCGGTGTTTGCACATTTTAAACCGCTGCTTTTTATTTTCGACACTGTTGGCGTAATACAATTCCGTTATTTTTTTTTTTTTTTCTTTTCTTTTGCGAATTTTTTCTTAAATCAATCTTTCAGTTTCTTTTAGTTACTGCGATGATAACGACGTGATGAAAACGAATTAATTGAAATATCGGTGTGTGTGTAAAACCAATGATCCTTGGAAATAGTGGCATTGCTATTATAACAAATTAGTTTCGAGATAAGGACAACGTTTCGATATATCGAACCTCGATCATACACCCAGTTCTCTTATCTTAAACACACATTACTTACTACCACTGCTACTATTATTACTGGGTAAATGGTATTTTCTTCAACGATTATTTTACTTAAATAACACACAGATTACGGATCAATATTTTTTTTCTTTAAAATTTCACCTCGCTCAAAGAGGATAATAAATATATATTTAGGAAAATTCAATTTCAAAAGTTTGATCGACAAGAGGCATAAACAGCAGAAAATTCGAAATATTTCACGGAATAAACAGAATAAAAATAAAATGGAAGAGGAAGAATATCCTAGACGATAAAGCGATGCGAAGGGATACGATGTAGCAAGGTACGGCACGGTACGGCACGGTACGTTCACCAATGACCGAGTGGCACGGATCTTCTTCCATCCTTTCCTCTCTTCTCTCATCTCCGCGTCGTGCAAACACTCTGTAACCGCAAGAGTACGACTCGGTGTACGCGCGCGCGCGCGCGCGCGTGTGTGTAGAGTATAACCATGTGTACTTAGAACCACCGAGAACCTATTCCCCTTCGAATGCAAGGCTTGAATATTTCCAGCGGCACTCTTTGCCGGTATTAATAGTCCTTACTTCGAGCGTGATATCAGACTCCTATGAGTGATTTTTCGCGGCAAAATCGTCATCGGTATTTTTAATTTCATCATTTTCAATCTTGAATGAAACTTAATCCTTGTTTCGATTCTTTTCTAAATTGAAATTCTCGTTGCGATACAGATGGATAGTTTAAATATAAATTTAAAAAAAATTATAAATTTTTAATTCTATGTTAATCTACAGTGTTGATTATATAACAGGTTTGATTTTCTCTTTGAAATAGCTGAAGTATCAAAAAAAAGAATATTATTACGAGAAGAATAATTAACAATCCTTCATTAATATTAAAAATTATAGATGAGAGAAAATCGAGTGGAAATTGAGGACGCGAAAGAAGCGATTTGAAGATTCTTCATGAAAGAAAAAAAAGAAGGAACGCGATAAATAATCGGAAGGATGCAAACGAGTTGATTGGCTTCGCGGGGAGTCAGCCGCGGAAATCAAACGGAATTCCACTTGCATTGCGTTACGCTGCATTCTCAGCGATCGGAGCCTCCTTGTACTTTCTAATTACGCGTAGGTTTCCCATTCGTCGTGAAGGAGCCTCGTAACGGACGAGCCGGCGCGATAACACGGGCCGATGATTTTTTCGTAACAGCCGTAACCCGCCCGATTATTTCGAATTTCTCCTCCCGGTGAATTTTTTTATTCGAGGCAGCATCGTGGTTCGTTTCCTACAATGAATCAATCGTATCAACCGACGATGTTAATTCGTCGCTCGATATTTATGAGTCAGGCACTTATTATTAACGCGATGCGAGAGATCGTAATATTTTTTCCCAATTTTTTGCAGCGTGGATTTAACTTTATTTCTAATTTTTTTTTTTTTTTTTTAGGAACGTATATGTTTTTTTCTTTTCAAATTATTCCAAGTGAAAATTAAGCAAAAGAAGGATCGATAATATTTTATTCTTAAAATTATCTATTTACTAAATATTTTTTAACGTCTCTAATCGCGTCTTCAGGTAAAAATTTCGATTTCTGATTTGATTTTGCCGTAAGGTACAAGGAGAAATTTTCAACAAGTATACTCCATCCGCCGGGATTGCGAGCCAAAACTTAAATTGCAGAGGACAGAACGTGTTGCATAGAAGATCGGCAACGATGGAACAGGAATTACGATGCATACGTTCGCCCACCTTGAAAACAAGAGAAGAAAGAGAAGAACACCGACGCATGCATCACGTGCATTCATCGGCTCCTACGAATTAATCCTATTATAGCGGAAAGCCTCACCTTCGCCGGCCACATCATCATTGGCGTCGCCGTCATCTGACATCGTCATCGTGTTCCCTCGTCGATCCCACACCGCGTGCGAAGGCGAGCCGTTTACGTAATGGACCGGAGGTTCCGTTTGTTTATGTAATCAGATCCCCCAGAAACACGCGGAGAACGGTTCGACAATTTTGCAACGAATTCATTTCCTGTCCTTTTATTCGCTCACGAAATTCAAGAATACCGCGTTTTAATTTAATTAGATGAAATAGAGATTTTTTCTTGCGCGCCAGTACATTTTTCGATTAAATTCCGAACATGTATAAATTTAACAATTCGATCTTGCGTAACGATTGAATTTATAGCGGAAACTTTTATAGCGGGCAGAAAAAGGGAAAAATTAACCGAATAACTCGTGTTTGCATTCGAGATCGCTCTCGGGCAATAGTATTTTATTTCTGGCCGACGGTGTCCTCGTAAATATCGATTGCAGCGTTGGCAAATCGCGCTTACCATAAAGAGAACGCATCCAGTCGATGGTCGAGCGGGTCTACAATCACCTAGGTCTACCTGGTTGAAAAAAGAGAAAGAGAAAAAAATGAACGCCATATGTAACCGTGCGATTACGCCTGACAGGATTTGCTCGAGAGATTCGATCTTCTCTCGCCTTCCACGCATTCAGGGACAATCGATAGTTTTCTTAATCGCGCTTTGCGCCGCCATCAAATATCTATTCTACGCCGCTTGTTCACCGCGGTCGCCGATGCGTAAAGACACGTCCTTCGACGTTAATAACAACGATAATGATATCACAGTCGCAAAAATGCCGGGAGAGAACTGCGTGGCATCGTTTTCTGGAATTTTACACGCAGCATCCACCGCGCTTTCATTCTAATCTAATGGATTTTTCCTGGCCAGGAACGCGCTAATTAATGAACCGCCGACGGTGGTTTCATCCGCGAAAGAATGCTGTGGGAATGGGACGTAGGGTGATCGAGGTTAGAAAATCGTGTATAACACAATATAGATAGATATTCGTCACCGCTTTGCCGATAGTTTATTATTCGAAAGTCTATGTCTTCCCATTTCGAGCGCATCGTATGCAAAGAGGTACAAAGTGTGAATAATGAGAAGTATTTTCACAAAGCGACGTGTGTGTTCCCGGATTGTTTCGTATTTCTGGTCACGAGTCTGGCCGCGGGAAGAGACAAAAGAAAAATGAAAATGAAGGAAACGAAAGGAGCAAGTGGAACAAGACGATTCACGACGGGCAAACGACAAAAGAGCTGATGTATTGTGGACAAGAAGATAAGGGTAAGGAATAATAAAAAGAAATAGAGGAATCTAATGCCGCTGGTGTACGCAGAAGACGGGAACACGACACAGGACAGGCGGACAAAGAGTAAAAAGGAAGCTGGAAGCACGGATACAAAGAATGGTAGATATAAATTGTCTACAGAGGAAAACCTCGTGTCCTCGTTTTTCATCACGACTGATATCTTGAATCTATAGATACTTATATTCTAATTTCTGAATATATTCATTCATATTCATTTATTCGATTATTTATTCATACATTTTTTTCCCTTATTTCTATTTTTTTTTTTTTTTACTTACTTTTCAGATATATTTATATATTTTTCTGTATATCCTCATATTCACATAACACTCGTATAATTCGACGCAAAAGAATTATGCACTGCCCCATTATCCGCTATCAAGATCTATGTTGTTGTACGGAAGATGAATTCCCGATTCTAAAGGGTTAATGTATTCCGACCATCACAATGGCACATAAACGTCACGTCAAACGGTCAGTGACAGGTCGGTAAGAGGCCGGCAGAGTCGCAAGGAACAAAGTAATCCGGAGGTTGTCCGTTCGAAACAGAAGAATTCACCTGACTGACTTCGTGACCCTAAGTCAAGTCATAGAGAGAGAGCAGACCCGGATTTCCCATTAGGCTAATCATCAAGCCGCGGGCGCACGATCTTGAAACGTATATCTAATCTTCGTGAATGTACGATTAAGGCAAAATTGCCAACATTTTGGCCTCTGAAATGAATCCACGCCGCTGTTTCTCTAGACGCTCTAGTTTTAGTAAACGGGCGACATGTATCCAGATTTTGTGATTATCTTCCATGACGAACGATATTTATGCCGGTCTATCTATAATTCTTAAGCTTCCTTAATTTTACGAATTTATATTCAAGGCCAATTATCTTATACACGTACATCGTTCCTATTTAATATATTCAAAATTTCTAGTAACAGATTATCGTGATGCAAAAAGGCGAGCAGGAATAGTCGGATCAGGAACAAAGACGAGTAATCGCCTCTAATATAATAATAGCCGATGCGTGCATCGGCCTACGGCTTATTTTTTTTTTTTTTTATACCGTTCGAATCATCCTAACTTTGGATTTAAACGCCGGAAGCAGGAGCAACACGCTGGAACCTTGATAGTTCGTCGAAAAAGTAGCCTAAGGCTTCGATGGATCTCTCGTAGGTCAAGATTCTAATAAATCTGCGAATAATGATTTAATAATTTCTATTTATTTGGGCGAATTTTTCTATCTGCGATAGTAACTCCCTCTACATACTTCTAATCCTTGACGCTTTAACGAGAAACAACACATCAAACGTGAATACCTACGATAAATATTTCTCGTGTAAGAACTGCCGTAAATTAAGATTTTCTGAACAATTTATAAATTAATAACAAACGAAACGAAATAGAGGAAATAATTTTAAATGGAGAGTGGTTGAAACAATATCGTCTCAAACGATGTTAACCTCAAAGATTATTTGGAAACGCTTCTATAGGTACTCTATGGATATAAAGTCTTGCATTTCCGCGTGTCTCATCTCCTCCATATATTAAAGTACCGCTCACGTGACTAGGTTAGGATGACGTAGTCATGGGTTAGCCGGAGGTTACTTCGTCGACTCGCTATTGGCAAATCGCGACTTGGAGGAGCCGGCGGCCGCCGCTTCGTGTCCTCTGGCAAGGAAAAGAAACCGATATTGATGAAGGAAGAGAGGAGAACAACTTTCACGCGACCACGAGGCTTCTTCGTATCGGAATGCATCCGTGCCCTGTGTGTCTCCCCGAGGGAAAGAAGATCCCTTAGCCGTTTTAATTGCAAATTTCTCCTGCCTGATCTGCTTGCAAATTGTTCAACGGAACTGGTCAAGCCATTATCGTTAAGGGCTCCTGTGATCAACACTGAATTTCTAACAAAGATCATCTATTCTTTGAAAATAATTTTTTTCTTTCTTTCAAGTTATATAACGTTTTGTTTTGTTTGATTCAGGTATAATAGCAGATACGTCGAATGAAAAAGAGGTTATGTTAAAGAGATCTTTGTTGCAAAAGCCGACTCTTGAACGAGATGTAATGAACTTCAATTATGACGCTGCCGCGTTTCCATGGGACTGAGACCGCGCAATAAGCTTTGAAAGTAACTAGTAAAGAAGCCAAGTGATTCAGTCGTTGATATTGTGCGCGGAGATGCAGAAAACTTTATGATGCAACAACAAAAGTATGCCTGGAATTTTACGATTCTTGCGTACAATTCTTAACGAAAGAATTTTTATAATTATTTATACGAAATAATCAATATGGAAATCAACGTTCTTAAAAATATTTTATTCTTCATTGAACATTAATCATCTATTATTTTCATATAATCGCATATAATATCATTATACATAACCTACAATGATCATCTATTAAAAAACATTTATACTTAAGTTTTTATTTAAAAAAATATTTCTCGTTAAATCTATTTTCATCATTTTCTGAGGAAAGATTAATTACTTTAAATTTCATAAAAAAATAGCACATGTAAGTAATGAAAGATTAATTATCACATTCCACTCTTAAGAAATGTCATTTATTTTCTGCGTTTCTTTTTTAGATCACGGAATATAATAAAACGTGTAAGAACGATTAATTTAATTATTCTCCAATTCCAAAAATATATTTTGGCGTATAAATAAAGAGCAGATAATTGTGACGATTATTCGGTGTCAAATTGAATCGACAAGTTCATGGTCACGGCAGATCCAGTGCCACGAGCCACGAGAAAAGAGAAACAGGTATCGAAAACGGTACCGGACACGAACAGTGCGTACGGCAGGTGGATGACGCAAGCGGGATGACTTTACTCGTGGTTATCCCTTCCCAAAAGTAATATTTCTTTCTCCCAGAAAGACATTTTGCAGCTGACATCTTTCTATCTTCCAAACTCCCTCATTTGCGAATCTCTGATGTCGATGATTTCAATAGACAGATATGTATAATCTTTACACAAATTATTTTGTGTTTCAATATATTTAAATTAAGATCATGTTATAATGTTTCATGTTACTTATATTGGCAATGTTTTAGCTTAGTCATGATTACATTTTATACTTCATTCCATTGTCGTGAGTATATCTTCAAAATAGTAATATTTTAATTATTAGACAACCTATTAATATATTTTCTTTTGTCACCAATGATGAATATCATATATTCTAATTTATCTTTTCGTTAACAGGTTGATACAACTATCCCGAATAATTCAAGATAATCAAAAAAGGAAAAAAATATGAAAATCTATTAATAGATTTTTCCAAGAGCTAAAGCATCGATGACGACACACTGATCGAATATCGCGCACCATGTCTCCCAGAATTTATTGTTTCGCTATCGAGCCGTCCACGATCTACTTTGATAATTACGTACCGTGTAAAACGATATTAAAGGGATAGCGTTTCACGAGCGTAGCAGGTGATAAGTAGGTTGCTACCCCATGAATTTATGCGAACTTCGTGAGCCACGTTCTTACTCGTTATTAATCGCGCGTACGTGTATTGCGCTTGGTGAATGATCACCATAATCTATCCGTTCGATGATACGATTCGAGAAATCGGGCCTCGTTCCGATTTCTTTCAATGTTCCCGCGCTATCTGTTATCGATCACCTTGGCCAATTACGTATATCGGCCCAATTTCTCGATAATGATGGCTCGATATTGGTTTTCAGTAAGTAAAAAAAAAAAAAAAAAAAAAAAAAAAAAAACAAACAAAATAAAAAAAAAATAACTACTGACGATAACAAAAATTCTTTTTGATTTTTCATACTTCTTGCAGATATTGACGACGTGGCCGTGCACGTCAACCGCCATGGGAGAAGGAATACCCAAGGAATATCCATGACGTTGCATCGTCAAAATCAAACCTGTTTCTCGACCACCCGGTATACAGATATGATTAACCTTTCAGCGCCGTTAGCTCGTTCGGGTTGTGTATTCGCTTCGATCAATGGTGCCACCGAGCGCAACACACGAATCGCAGAAACGAACATGGAAAAATCACGGCGATTATTCCGAGGATTATGTTAGGTCGTTGACTCGCTTGCCTCTTCCGGTAAATATCCTTCCTGATAGTGGCTGTGTGTAATCGATAGAATAATTCGACTGTGTGTGCTTCTCACGATGGTAAAATATTCATTCCCATGGCAATAAAATGTCGGCGCGTAATAAGAAATAACAATTTAAGGGACGAGTTTTGTGAAAGGGTTTAGCTGCGAGCAGATCGTTTTCAACAAGCTTTTCAAACCAGTATTCATTCGTTTTTTCACTATTTGGGATTACGAATGTAAGATATCGGAGTCGATTATCTAGAAAGCAATTTCGCAATTAGGGATTGGAAATAATTATGCGAGGATTCGAAATTGAAATTGAACAATGTAACAATTGAATGATAGATCCGGGAATAAGGTGTAAAGCGGATTAACAAGATAAAAAAGATAGATATCTTCATGATCTTCGGTTATTTTGTCGCGAAGAGACAAGCCGAATAAACTTAACAGTATTCTTCCCCTTACTGACTGAAAATTGCTTTTTAGTCTCTCTTCTTCTGCTCACGTTAGATTTCTTATACACGTTTCTTACATTCAACGCTACATTCTATCGTAATATCTACAATCTGCGCGCATTAAAATGATCTGCGGGGATCGTAGAAGCCATACCTTACCGTTATTTCAACTTCAACCGAAATATGTGTCGCATACCCTTATTCCCAGTCGCCATTCAATTACGTTAATCCTGATGCACAACCGCGCTGTGCACAAACATTTATCGCACACTGTATTAAATCCACAATGGAATCGTTATCCTTAAACCCATCACGGGCTAAAACAAGATAAATCGTGCGATTTATTTCAACGGGGGATCAAAGGGTCATCGTGTATCACAGCCTCGAAACTCGAAGCTCGCGTAGGTGCATCGTGCAAAGCGCTAAGCGCGGATATTTCAATAGCGCAACAGCCAGTAAACGAATATACACGGTCGTGTTGCCCACAGGCTTCGTTGCGGCACAGAAACCTTTCTCTCTTTCTCGTCTCCTCGAACGCATCTACGTGCCACGGCATCATCGTGCATATGCATGCAATCAAGCGGGATTAATTGATGCAAGTAATGACGCGTTTAAACGACGATCGACCAGATGCACAGGATAATCAATCTGACGCCTCGGTTTTCAGGATCGCCCGCTTTTTCTTCCTCAAAAAAAAAACGACAATGGGGTGGATATTTCCTGAATTTAATCATATAGCTTCAACTCATTATACATTTCTAACGATCCATCAATTTGTTTCAGATATATGAATTGATAAATTAATCCAACTTTATAAGAGAGAAAATATGGCAAGATGGAAGCTGTGAGATCCAACAAAGTATTTTTTTTCTTTGGAAGTCAAGATGTAATTAGAAACTTGGCTCGTTTAAAAAGTACAATGGTTAATGTGATTTGATCTTGTGTAATATCTAGGAAAAAAAATATGAAAAATTTTTGGTAAGGTGTTTGTCACTTTCTGTCAGTCCACGCGAATAGGTATGCGAAAAGATATATTTATTGTTGAAACGTGTTCATAAGCTGCGGCCCAGTAAAACTAATAAATCTGTGAATACGCTTAATTAATGCGCCACGGCGGAGAATAACGCGGCTAAATGATCAACGATGCGCGGAGTTAATGACGCTAATGAGACAGTTTTAGCCATATAATCTAATTTCATAGAATCATACGTGTCAAGGCGCTCCTCATTTTTATGCTCTATTCTTATTAACTCTTCTCTTTAATTAAGTCTCAATTTCTCGCGCGTTGCAATTAACAAGCCTTTAGAAAAACCCTTAGGATGCGAATATACATTTGGTAAAATTTTTAATACTCTCAGAAAAGTATATTCTTCTTTTAATAATGTATATTTCATTCATTGTTATTTTACTGATACAAATATTGATAAAAATATCTTATTTTTCAGAGTAAAATTTCGGAGAGCTGTTCTTGAGAAGATTTTGGAAAGCGAAGGAGAACAAGTTCTCGAGAAATGTTTAAACACCACAACTTTTAAAGTATACTTTCAATTTTCACCGAGTTTGTTTTAACGTTGACAGTGGCACGCATCGCAATTGCGTTGATGATGGTATAATGCTTCAAGAAGGAAGAGACACGCGACGCGCAGGAAACGAGGAAACGTCTCTGGTGAAAGCTTTTTAGACGAAGGAACAAAGAGACGGGGCAATAATGGACGAAATGCCGCAGCGTTCACCGCACCGTACGATTCTGATCTGCATCTGCCCGGTTATTACCCCTAAATTACGCATTGCCGGAGAAATTTCATACGTTGTGGCAACTTAATGTCATTATTCCGAGTACACAACTCTTCTCACGGGACAATACGACTGATAATGTAATTGTAAAAGACTCTAAACGGGTAACAAGTTACGTTCGATTAAAATATCTCTTGTCATTGTAATTTTTTAAAAGTTATATTGATTAAAATATAAGAAATATAATATAAAGAAAAAATAAATTGGAAAATAAATTCTTAAGTTTAAAAAAAAAATGAAGTATCAATAAGCGTGTAGCGTCGACAATTTCAAGGTTATGATTTTTTTTTTTTTTTGAAAAGTGGCGCGATTCTAATCTAGAGAAGAAAAGAATCTGGTAGAGATAAAGAAGTTTTTGACTTTATCGGGCATAAAAAATTATTAAACTAGTAAAGGTTCGAACTTGAATTTTATTTCTAACGCGCCACCTGTGTGACAATAAAATAATACGAGGTGTTGTTGCGTGACAGGCCGATTGTTACGATTAAGTTTTAACACGGCATTAGAAATCGCGCATTGTCGATCAGGTGCACACAACCTTGGCCGTATTACGATTTATTTTAGTTGAAAAGAATGGAGACACGGTTAATCGCGTAATTGCACGTGAACGCGTGGATTCGTGTAATTAAGAGGATGCATGAACCGTGTGTTACGACCCGTGCGTCAGAAGAGAAAGGATTTTACTTGATAAAACGAGCGGACCGCAAAAGGAGGCTGGCTGGCTTTATTGCAAGCCACCGCTCTCACGGTCGGTAAAAACGGCCCGCTCTCGCTTTACAATACGATGAATAATTGATTTGCAGTTTCACTCTTTCGTGGATTACGTAACAATAAGGGAACATAATTTAATTACTCGTGGATAATCGCAACATGACCAGTGTCGCTTAGACTCGTCATGTCGCAAAACAAAATGGCAAACTTTCACTCGGATGGCTCGGATTTTTATATCCACACGATCGTGCCATTTTTACTTTTTACATATAAAAGACAAAAGAAGAGAAATTTCACGTTGGAAAATTTACTTACGTCACTTATTACGTGTCTTAAAACAGAAATAAAGATTTTTCTCAAAAAAAAAAAAAAAAAAAATCCTCCAAAGTTTCATTCTCGATAAAGTCGACTCGTCATCTTAAATATTTTACAAAAAAGTTTAATAATCTAGATTAGTTTCATATCGCAATTCAATTTGAAAGGGCAAATTACATCGCGACTTTTTTAGCCACTTTAGTACTTGACACAATAACGTGACGGAAATCGTCACACCAGCAATAAAATAAAGTCGTGCTTTACGCCTTTTAAACCGGCCCACGGTCTCGCCACTTTTTTCCCCTCTCCTTCTTTATACCACTAGCCATTTTTCAGAAAAAAACGCGGGAAAACGTGTAACAGCGCCTATCCCATTATTGCGGAAATCCAACGGCCATGAAGAGGCAAGGAAACGACATCGTTGGTTCAATTTAATACCGCGTAAAAAATGATCGACGCATGACATTGGGAATATTTCGTTACGCGCAACCCGAGAACTTTCTAATCTTGCGCGTTTCTTTTCCTTTTTCCTTTTTCCTTTTTTCTTTTTTTCTCTCTATCGTTCGAGGTTGAAATATAGTTGAACGCCTGTACGGATTGCATCGCAATCGAAATTTCTCGTGGGTGGTTCAAATCGATGCGCGCTTTGAATATCTGTCGTGCACGATAGGAAAGAAAAGAAATACGCGTTTAATAACCGTGACGAGCGAATATAACCGTATATTCGACTTTTCCGCACGAAAGCAAGCTTATGGAAGTTATTTGCGGGCGGAAATATATTTTCGTCCTGGCCGTTCCCAGACGATCGTTTCGTGTTCGTTTATGCGCAATTTATACACAAAAATTTGAAACTTCGATTTCTTCAAACTTTGCCCTCTTTCCATTAAACTAGCATTCCACGTGTATTGGAATAAAATAGCTTAGTGTGCTTGGATATACTCGATGTATAAAACACTGTTTATAATTCAATGTAAATCCAATTTGTATATAAATTAATATTCTCTACATATGTCAGGATATATGCTCTTCTTTTGGAAGATAAATTTGTAATTATTCTTTTTTTTTTTTTTGTTTTAATTTTCGCGGTGAAAAGAATCTCTTAAAATTGTCCACAAAATGCATTAATGGAATTACAGGACAGCATACACGTAACACAAGAGTAACGTTATCCTCGAGATACATGGCTGGCTTTATCGCCACGATGCGTGACGAACGTTCGTTTACGTACGTTCCGTAAGGAGATTCTCCAGTCCCTGTGTTCCCTGTCAGATTGTCCACTGGGAATCGTGTAAAAATATATATATATATGTAATTCTCGTGATTCTATACGGTTTTTGTTAAGTCGCTAACTCGGTGAAACTTCTTTTTTAAACGGATCGTCGTCGACTGTAACGATTCATTTCTCGCCACACTGTACGCGATACTTTTTCGTCACTAAACGTATATTGCAATCGTTAAATTGTTAGTTGGAGAATGTGAAATTTCAAACTTGTCGAAAAAGATATTTCTGCGTAGTGATTTAATCTGAAGATATTTTTCTTTTTGTCGAATTTTGAAGGTAGATATTCAAATTTTGCGAATTTTTTAAATATTTATATGTAAAGAGATATATTATAAAGCATATAAAATAAAAAATTTTATTTCTCACAGAGTGTAATTGGGAAAATATACACAAACCTTCTGTTATTCTGTCTTTATGTCTTCAAAGTTTGGTTAATTTTTTGCGAGATCGCCAAACGATTTTCGGGCTACTCATTTCGAAAAAGAAACGACGAATTATGTGTAATAAATTGGTCAGAATCCTCGACGAAGAAGTTAACAACTCGTACAGGAACCAACTCGAGCGTGCACCTATGCACGCTTCGTTTCGCTGAAATAATAACGAAGATCTTTGAGGCCCACCACGCCATCGCGGCGTAACCAGGAATTCCATGTTCCCTTTTCCTCGTATTTTTACCAAAAATTACGAAAAATCATCAGCCGATAACGGTACAAATATTTCCTTCAATATGTCACGAGTAACTTTAATTAATTAGGAATGATGGCTTTGCACGTGCACGATTTTAAATAAAAATATTATATTAAATGAGCAGTTATAATTGTAAAAATGAATAATAAAAAAGAATATGTGAAATTAACTGGATAAAAGTTGAGTGTTGTCTTGTACAAATTGTATGGATTATTGTATTTTTAATCGATTAGCATAGATCGATAAGAAAAATAGTCGAAAAATGTTAAAAATTATAAAAATAATGTAATAGCTATAATTTTTATTATCAACATTTATTTTTATCTTTCTTGTCTATGGACACGCGCCAAGAACAAGAATAGATAAGGATAGAAAGTAATGAGAAAAGGATAGAGATAGGGTAAAAATTAGAGAATCAGCGCCATCTCCAGAGTGCCGCAAATGAAACTCATGATAGACAAGGAGAGCAAATAAGAATTAACTATCAACGCCATCTCTTGACTACTAAAGACATTTCTATAAATACAGGATAAAGTAGAACAAGAATTGAGAATTAACGCCATCTCTTGAATATTCTGAAAATATGATTGAATAAAGTTATCTTCGATACTCGAGAGATGGCGATAAAGATCAATTCTTATTTGGTCTTCTTGCTATTATGAGTTTCATTTACGGCACTCTGGAGATGGCGCTGATTTCCTAATTTTTATCCTATTTCTATCCTTCTCTCATTATTTACTCTTCTTGTCTATCCTTGCTCTTAGCGCGTGACTATAGATGAGATACGAGATATCAATTGAATATATTTTCATCATTTCTCATTGATAATTACAATTTTATTTTGAGTCGAATTAATAATATTATAATTATGATATATATAATATGATAAAATAATAATAAAATATTTCAATATTGTCTCTTTTATAAATCAATATATTTTGCACGTCAATATACAAAATTTTTTAACTTAAAATTTAGAAAATTATTGGAAGGAACACTTGTAATACATATACAATTATGCTCAATTATAATAAATTAAGGCACAACTTTTTTTTAAAAAATATCATCATGAAATAATGTCCAGCACATTTAAAAATAAAAGTGCGACATTTTAACATGCAAATATATTTTATAATACGAAGCTGCCAAAACATGGCTTTCATTATTTCTTAAAATACATTCGTATTACATTTGGATTTAATTCGTGTAATATTTGAGAACAAATATTGTACGAATTATTATTTTCGAAAGATACGAACGTTTTAATATAAATATTTATAAAGAATATTTATGATTTATTTATCCTATTATTTTCTTTAACTATCTATCTTTTGCCTCTTTAAATTTTGCAAAAAAATGCAAAATTTGAAGCATTAACAAATATAAACTACATTTTGAGACAACGCATAGTTTTATCAGGTACTTGAAGAGTAAATTGGAAGGAATTTTTCCTGAGATTGCCAGTAGCGTTATTGGTGACTAAGTCATTGTCGTCATCCTTCACATCGATGTCCTCGATATCAATATTGAAATTTCGGTCACCCATTAACGTATTCAGACATATATTCATTTCTTTTATTTTCGAACGTACTAATATTTCCAAAGTGAACAAATGTTCGTCATGAGCTTCTGGCAGATAACGGTGCATAAACTCTGCTAATCTGTACGTGACACATAAAATGAAATGTAAGAAAAAAAAAAAAATAAAAGAAAAAAAAACATAAAATAACTTAACGAGTAAATCAGAACGACCGTATATGGAAAAACCGTATGGGAAAACAAACCGTAAAAGATATTCGACATTGTGCCCATTTGGACCTGAACACTCGAAGATTTGTTTTGCTATATTTTGAAGCGGCGCATCACCAAGCCAGTGTTCGTTCTTATTGGTAGCAATATAAATAATGACTGGAAAGTTTCTGTTTCCTTCGCGACTATAAAATGTTGTAATTGTTGTCATATATCCTCCTAAAGTACATTCGCGATTTTCCAAATAAGGCAACGCTGTACTGTCTTGAACTTGGAATGCTCGACCGTAAACAACACCCTTGTAAACAAAGAAAATATATTTATCACGAAACGGAAGCAATTCATTCGAAGTAATGGAGATGTTACATTTATATTATTAATCAATAGTAATGATGCATAAATTTGAGGTTAATGATAAAAGTAAGTGGAATTACCTCTTTTTCCTCAACCAATGTAGCCACACGTCCAGGCTGTAACAAAAATAGATAACAAATCACTAAATATACAACTAATAACTTCAATTGCAAAAAAATTAATTATATTTTTTACATCATAATGACGTAAATATATAACATATGCATACAACATATAAAATCATGTATCTGCGAATGATATTGGTTTCTACGAGCTATAACTGGTTTCACATTAATTGACAGACAACCGCAATACAAGAGAAATTTTTATTTGATAAAAGTTGTCTATATAATGATAAAAGAATACAGTAAAATATAAAAAATTAAAACAAAATTAAAATTGTTAAACTATGTGATTAGAAAAATATACATCGGTCAATTAAATAATATTATATCAATTAGAGAAATTGGAACGCGCTTTAGGTGAAACTATATCCGATTTTCATCAGTCTTAATGGAAGCATCCGTAAGCACTTACTGAACCATAGTATCGTTCCGCAAACATTGTATGCTACCGGATATTAAAAAAATTTTTATTATTAACAATTTATTTTATGATTTTCAAAAAAAAAAAATAAGAAATAAAAAATGTAAATATTTATATTACATTATTACAAATATTCATAATAAATACATTTATTATAACCAAAATGCATTAAATAAAAAAACTCATCTTTATCATAACGGTGTGGAAGATTGCCAAGGCTTTGTGAAAGAATTCACGTGTCGAATTCATGAACAAGAAAATTAAAGATATAAATAGAACATCTGAGGTGAGCTTCGTATGAAAAATTTAGTTTGTCGTCGAACTCTCATTCGATGTTTATATATTGTAAATGAAAATGAAAATATTTATATATCTGTAACGTCATTTAGATATATATTTTTTTTAAAGTGCACAATATAATAATAATGTAAGCGTATTTCGAAATTCTATAATACAATCAATCATTTCCATTTCTGATTTATTAAGAATAATTTATAATTTCATACAATCATTAATCAATTGCAAATATTATTGTAAAATTTGTATACAGTTGGATTTTTTACGAAAAAGAAAAACAATGTAAATATTTACGATAGAATTCTGAATTGACATTTTTTAATTGTGGAAAAAAAAAGGAATAAAAAAATAAAGAAATTACAAATGTCTAACATTGAAAACTTACCTTTTCTATTGTTCCCCGATGTGTTGTATTTCCTTGCCAAAATCTTCTAATGAATCCTTTGATGTGTCCTACCGCGCTTTTTTTATATTTGAAACCTGGATGCCAGCACAAAGATCCATATCCGAACACCCAGAGAGAATTTTCATTATTGTTTCTAGCTTCCATTTTAAATTATTGAAAAGTGTGAAAAAATAACTTTTTTTCTTTGAATATTGACTAATTCTATCTTTATCTTCAAATAGAGCATATCTTGTCAAAATTTATTTATATTCTGATAATTCTTTGATAAATATTTTCGATAAATCTAACTCGTGAAAATTTATTCAATTTTCCTTATTTTCATTATCTTAATTTCAGTCAATTCACACGAATTTTGCGTCGATATGTTATTTAATTTAATATGTATTTTAAATAACTATGTTTGTGAATAGTTAAAATTATCGCATATGAAGAATGAATAGATAACAAAAATTATTTGTCCTTTGTTTGCCTTATCATTTAAATATATCATTAAAGTGAATGCAATATGAAATAATTGATTTGACAAGCGCGACACGTGGCTTCACTATGATTTTACCCCAAAGACTGTTGCACTTTAAAGCTTAACTGTTCAGAAATTCACTCCCACTATAATATTCTAATTTATTTCCTCCCACTTTCGCTTGGTGATTTTACAGGATTATTATCCTATTCATCTGCCCAATAAAACGTTTGTTCTCTTTTTCGTCTTTTATGTGTCGGTTCTTCAATATCCCGCGTGACATTTTTCACTAATAAATTTTAATTATACAATGAATTTTTTTTTATTAATTACTTGTATGATCAATTGATCTTTCGAATGTTTATTGAAATTTTATTTGATCGATATTTCTTTCGAAGAGCCGTCGAAAAGTTGAAAGCTTGATGACTAATTTTTTTTGTTTTCGAATGATTGAATGTTTTTGAACTGATTGATACAACTTTCGTAAATGTTTCATTGGAATTTTTATGATTTAAATTCACCACAGACATTGACGAATTTAGAAAATCCACAACATACACACCTCACAGAAGTTTGACCGAGACTGCCGGTCGTCGGGCGTATACTTTTACATGTAGAAAAAGATAGAAATACTAACGGAAGAGGGGAATAAGCACATATTATTAGAGAGAAAGAGGAAGACTATGAAAGAAGAGTGAGTAGGAGGACGGATGAGATGGATGACGAAACATGAGGTACGGATTGACGTATAACAACATTTATTTAAATTATATAAATATTTGTAAATATATATAAATAATACTTACATAGTATTCATCTATTGCATAAATTATAAGAAAAAAAAGACTTAATAATTGAATATAAATTACTTATTTTTATAAAAAATTATAACATATATATATATATATATACATATATACATATATATATATTATTAAAAATAAATATATATGATATTTTATTGAAGATCAATTTCAGTCATTTTCAATTAATAGTAGGAATTTATAACTTTAAATTTAAATATAACAAAATTTGATAATTTTTTAAAGAAAGTTAATTTTTCTTCTGATGGTAAATACAATTTATACTTTCGTCTTAAAAGATGTCGCTATTATTATAAAACCATAAATAATAATACCAATAATAATGAATAAAAATTCCCTATGATTTCTATAACATTACTTCCAAATCAGCTGGTGCTTCCAAAATCCGATTGTTGTTGACGAATGTTTGAATTTCCATTTTTTCGAATGACAGACTCAAAAATTGAATTTTAGTGTTGAGACAAAGTGAGAAACTTTTACGAGATACATAATTTTTGTGCGAACAAGTTGTTTATTCTATATAGTTTCTAGTTAAGTATATTTTATATCTTTTTAAAACGTAACCTGTTGCACGCTTTATTAAGTTTTTAAGGTAAACGATGCACAGGGATACTCCACCACCTTCTCCAGATATGAATGAACAAATAGAAGATGAAGATATGATATATATAGGTGATGTAGAAGAAGTGATAGATGCATATGATGCAGGAGATATTGAAGAAGAGGATGTAATGGAGGAAGATCCTTCAGAAGGAGATGCAATTTGTGTTTTTACTGGTCATAAACGAGGTAAGAGTAAAATTTTAATTTTTGTAATAAGATTAATATTGTGATGATAAATATTTTATATTAAAATTTTATAGGTTCTGTTTTTTGCGGTACTTTGAGTAAAAATGGAAAATTAGCTGCTACAGGTGGAGAAGAAGATAAAGCTTATGTTTGGGATACATCAACAGGAGAAATTATTCTAGACTGTACAGGTCATAAAGATAGCATTATTTTTTCAGCATTTAATTATGATGAATCATATTTAGCTACTGGAGATATGAGTGGTCTGATACAAGTTTGGAAAGTAGCTGATAAAATTAAAATTTGGGATTACAATATGGGTGATGCTACTGTTAGTTTATATTTCATAATGAAATTACTATGTTACTATTAATTTTAGTAAACTAAAATATTACTTGCATTATTACAGTGGATGATGTGGCATATAGCTGCAAATGTTTTATTAGCAGGATCTGTTGATGGTGAAATATATATGTGGAAAATACCTGATGGAGATTGCAAAGTTTTACAGGGATATGGCTGCCGGGCAGAGATTGGTGCAATATTTCCAGATGGTATTTATTTCTTTACATTTCTTATCTTGTAAATAAAAATATTCTGTTATAATTAAATTTAATATTTTAGGCAAGCGTGTAGCAATAGGTTATGAAGATGGAATTGTTAGGATATTAGATTTAAAAACTAATTCTGTATTATCATTCATATCTTCTACATATGGTCATTCTCATACTATAACTACTATTGATTGTCATTCTGATAACAATTTAATACTTTCTGCAGCTGTAGATGGAAAAACAATAATCAGTACTTCAAATACTGGAAAGGTAATAAAATTAATAGTTCTTGTACAACAAACAAATTAAAGTAATATCATTTAACAACTTTAGATAGTTTCCATTTTGCAAAATCTTAATAATAATGAGAAGAATAATGTAATTAATGATCAAGATGCTGGAAATAGTGAAGAAAATAAAGAGATAAATAATTGGGTAGAGACAGCAGTTTTTTGTAAAGATCCAACATTTCAAGTTGCTGCAACTGGTACCGTGAATGGAGAAATCTTTATCTGGGATATTTCAAAACAGGTAGTTTTAGTTTTCCTTTTGAAATAAAATTTAAATAAAATTGCAGTAATTTTTATTATTTGTTATTTAGATGCTTAGGCAAAAAATAACACAAGAAAGTGGTATATCTAAACTTGTATGGAAGGGAAATACGTCTGTATTATTTTCTGCAGGATTAGATGGTATTTTAAGGTGTTTTGATGGAAAAAGTGGTCAATGTTTACGTACATTTGTAGCACACACAGCAGACATCCTTGACTTATATATATCTGAGTAAGTTAAATGAATTGTATTTTTTTTTATAACAATATTTTAATAAAAAAATACATAATAACATTTTTTTCAGAAATGGAGAAAAAGCATTGACAACATCTGATGATTTTACAGCTAGAATTTTTGACATTTCATCTTTACCTTAACAAAATTTATTAGATAGAAAAAATTATAGAATCTTTGTTATTATCTAAAATATATGTACATTTTATGAAAGTTGTTCATATATTATGCTTTGTTTTCTTTTTGAATTAAAAATAAAATTTATTTATTTTTATCTGATAGCTAGCAATATTTTATCCTTAAACCAGTTACAATCTAAAGTATACATTTTATCTTTCCAAAAAAAATGAGTTGGACCCTTTTCCTCTCCTTCTTCAAAATTAAATGATGAACTAAGCTCGATTGCAATTTTTGATCTTACCAGACCAATTCCTCCTGCTTTTTTTGGTGCAGGATGATATATTCTTCCTGATTGATTCATATATAATTTTTTTGGTTCAAATGGTACCTATAATGAATTTATTATTGAAATCTAAACATCAAATTTATATTTATTTAATTATAAAAATGTAAAGATGTACCATTAATACTTCTTCTGCATGAGCATAACCAAACCAATCTTCATTTTTACCTGTTTCATTATTTTTTTGTTGAAGAATTTTTGTAAAAACTATTGGCAAATCATCACACCTGACAAAATTTCTCTCTGGACCACAAAGAGAAATATAAGGAAAATCTTCCATATATCTGCCAGTGTCATTTTGTTTTAAACGTTTAAAAAAGAATGCCAAAAACTTTTTATCTAAAATGATATAGCTCCCATGATATATGAATTGTAATATATAATAAATTATTTCTTTCTTTATGCACACCTTTGAAACATGATGTAAAGTTTTTCATACGTGAATCATCTAGGAATAACTGAGAATAACAATAATGTTAGAAAAATTAATATGATTCTAAAAATATTATACTTTCGAAGATTATAAGTTTAATCAAAAGCAGATTATACCATGCCTTGGTGATCGATATAATAAAAATATTCACGAACTCGAGGTTCTGGAGACTGTCCTTGCACATATTTTACACAATTTCTTTTAAATATTTGTGAGCAAAATGATTTTTTATTTTTGATTGCAAACACACGTAATCGATTAAAGATAAACATTTTATTTCCTGTATATTAAAAATTAGAACTAATTTAAAAATTATAACCTCACTTTAAATATTTATAACACTATAAAGTATTATGTCACGTGTAACGTAATTCGTATAATTCACATAACAATACGACATATTGTAACTAATTATAAATGTGTAAGTTTTGATAATATTTTATCGCGTTTTTTTTTAATTCAATCATCATCCTCTCCCTACGTTAGTTTGACATTTACTAAGGTTGAAATTCAATTAACCGGAGAACTGGTGACATCTGGTGCGATCGATTGAAACGTAATCTCGATAGAAACAGAACTTCGATATTTTTCAACGTCACGTTAGTTCGCGCTACCCACGGACAGGCAGATTCAAGAAATGAGATACGACGAAGAGGTGGAACGAACGGTTTGTGAAAACGGACAGAAGTTTCAAGGAAAGGATTGCCTTCAGGACCACAACGCGGCGAGATGCTGTGGCCCCGTTGAACGATCGTCCATGCACTGAATAATAACACAAAGTAAAAATGTTACCTACGAATTCGAGCAAAAAAAAATTGTGCATCTGCAAGCTGAAATCTCAAATTGTTGTCGTTGCCAAATAAGTCGTGCACAACGCAATCCTGTGGTCCCGGAATATGGCTTCGTCCACGAAGAGGTCATGGAAACTCCGTAAGTGATTGTCCCATTCGTATTCATATATTCTTTATTTAATACATCAATGTTCGATGTTCGTTCAACGGATTTTCTTCTGGCGGTCTCTCTTCTTTGAGATAAGTAAACAATTCATGTTTACAAGTTTATTGTTGAGATCTAGCTATTAATTGTCCGCTGCATTTTCTTATTATGGTCATAACCTTTTTTAAATCGAAAATATATTATCTTTATGATGTGGTTGAAAACTGACATTTTGTTCAGGCCACTTTAAAGAACAGTTTAAAAGAATGATGTTTTTCTCTATACAGAGGATTTTGTTGCCCACTCGTCCAATGTCAATTGTTTGGCATTAGGTCACAAATCTGGACGCGTTTTGGTCACTGGCGGTGATGATAAGAAAGTAAATTTATGGGCAGTTGGAAAACAGAATTGTATTATGGTATAATTTTATCTTTTTCTATATTTATTTGCTTAAAAAGTGAATTGAAACATTAATAAAATTTTATTTTACATCAATTTAATATTTAATTTATTATTTATAATTTTGTTTTCTTGATTTTCAGAGCCTGAGTGGTCATACTACTCCTATAGAATGTGTAAGATTTGGACAGACAGAAGATTTAGTATGCGCTGGCTCACAAACAGGAGCATTAAAAATTTGGGATTTAGAACATGCTAAATTAGCTCGTACATTAACAGGACATAAAGCAGGTATACGTTGTATGGATTTTCATCCTTATGGAGAATTACTGGCATCAGGAAGTTTAGATACTGCTATTAAACTTTGGGACATAAGGAGAAAAGGTTGTATCTTTACTTATAAAGGACACAATAGGATGGTAAATAGTTTAAAATTTAGTCCTGATGGTCAATGGATAGCTAGTGCAGGAGAGGAAGGAATGGTTAAGGTAAATATTATATAAATTTTATTTTTATTTTGATTAATTATATTATAATTAATTAATATTTTTTTTATTTTAATTAGTTGTGGGATTTAAGAGCTGGTAGACAGTTAAGAGAATTTTCTGAACACAGAGGTCCAGCAACAACAGTGGAGTTTCATCCTCATGAATTCTTACTAGCCAGTGGAAGTGCAGATAAAACAGTACATTTTTGGGACTTGGAATCTTTTCAACTTGTATCTTCTACAGACCAAAGTCATTCCTCTGCAATTAGGTAAGTAATTATAAATATTATAGAATATTTATTATTATTAAAATTTTTTCATTATTTATTAATATTTCTTCTTTTTGGTAGATGTCTCTATTTCAGTCAAGGTGGAGAATGTCTTTTTGCTGGTTGCCATGATGTGTTAAAAGTTTATGGTTGGGAACCAGGTAGAACGTTAGATTCCATCCCAACTGGTTGGGGAAAAGTACAGGATATAGCTATAGCTCAGAATCAATTGGTAAGATTATTGTTAATAAATTTAATGTATATAACATATACGTAATCAAATATATATAATGAAAAATAATAATACAGAATTTAAAATTGTTTTTATTAATTATTTAGATTGGTGCAAGTTATCACACTGCAAATATTGTTTTGTATGTGTGTGATTTAAAGAAAATTGCTCCATTAGGTGGAGTTTCAACATCTGGTTCTCCATTTAGTCACGGGAATTCGTTAAGGAAAAGTTTTTCTAGAGAAAGACCACCTGGATTAAAAAAACATACGTGAGTTTTGTAAATAATACTCTTATATTCATACATTATGTTTCATACAACGTTTTATATTTTATATTATTTTTCTCTACATAATATTTCGTTTATAGATTAGATGTACGAACTATAGAAGAAGCAGATAAATCTGGAACTGATCCAGAAGATGAATCAACATATGCAGATATTCCTAATGTTACTGAATATCATGACATTTTTCAGCCCAATAGATCATGTGAGTATAACTATATAATTTCTTTCTTTTTTGTTGCAAGATCTACTATGTATCATAACACATTCAAATTCTGTTCTTACTAACTCTTAACTACTCACCTACAATCACATGTATGAAAATACAAATGCATCTACAATTTGGATGTTATGCTGTATGGTTTGTGAATGAGCATGCTATGCACGATATGTTTCAGTGTCTCGCACTCCACCTCCAGAACCTGAGGCTTTCGAGGAGCCTCAAGATGTAGGTGAGTTTTATATTAAAACAAAAATTTTCTGTATCTATCTTTTTCTTTTACACCAATATAGCATGAATTATTAATGTAAAATTTATATGTATCGTGTACAAAGTGTTTAATTTTAAATCATTCCAAATATTTTCTTTTTATAGATCCTACACAACCACAAATATTGCAAAATTTTTCTACCTCAATGTCAAGTTTAAATATAGTGGATTCAGGAGAAGTTCCGCCAATTTCATCACCGTCATCTTCACCTCCATCCGCATCGACGTTATCATTAACAAAGCCTGTACCAGTTCGTGTTCAACCAATTAAAACATCACCGCCTCTTCAAAGAAATTCTATTACGACCACTAGCCAAATAAAAGCGAATCTTCAAGCAAATAATGGCCTTGGTAGAACTTCAAAAAATTTGGCATCTATACCACCTCTAAGACAAAATATTACACCTCTTCCTGGAAAAAAAAGCTGTCCTAATAATGATATAACAACACTTCCACAACCTCTAGGCCCTCAAAGATCAAATTCTACGCTAACACCTCGTGTAGCACCAATGGCTGCCGTTCTTCCAGTAATGGATGATGGAAAACTAAGAATAGAGCACCTAGCCCGGATTCTCCTAAGCATTATTTAAAAAGACAAAATAGCTGTAGAGATGGAGAACAGGGTTACGAAAGCGATTACCCGGTACAGTAAGTATAAATATGACGTTCTATAATTAGCATGTTACGTAACAATGGCAATTATTGAAAATATATTCTTGCAGAATTAATAGTATAAGGCACAGTCCCTCCGATCCTGCGTTAAACAGGCCGAATACTGCGCAATCTAGGTCCACCTCGCTGAACAGGAATTTCGCTACCTCAATGTCGCTGTCCGCGCGCAACGCTTCCACAGCCACGTCATTCGCCGCAAAAAAATCAAATAAAGCTCAAGTAGCCCCAAATCTTAAGCTAGAGATTCGCGCGTCTCAAATAAGGCCGAGTATAGAGAACGCGGACAAAGGAGAATTCGTTCCCATAAGTGCCGACAAACCTTACGGTTTGGATGTTGAAACTTTCTTACCAGTGAGTTTGTTTTTTATCTAGAAAATTAAAATGAAAAAGTCGAATTATCTTGTGATACAATAATGTTCTTTAACAGAACCACTATGCAAATCCAACTGGGTTAGGTTTTTCTCAAATGGGAGTTCTGAACGAGATGTCGGAAGCTGAAGTACTCAACAGCATGATGCGTGGTCATGAATCTATGATGGCAGTACTTACGAGTCGTCATCGATCCTTGCAAATTATTTATTCTCTGTGGCATAATAAAGATCTTAAGGTAATTGTAATAGCATCCAATGTATAGTGAAAACTATCAAGCATGGCAAGATTAATAAGAAATTATTCTATTTTTCAGGCTGCTGTGGAATCTGCCGTGGCAATGAACGATCTTTCAGTTATTGTGGATCTATTAGGGATACTGACATTGAAACCGTAAGCTATCACGATTGAACAAATAATTGGAAATCTTTCTTACGATTTCTTTCTTACTTTAACTTCAATTACTCTCTACTTTTAGGACAATGTGGAATTTGGATTTATGTAATTCTCTACTCGGTCCAATCGGTGATCTCCTACAAAGTAAATACGAAATGTGAGTAAAGATTCTTTTAACATCTTCTAATTTTTAGATTCACGATTTTTCATTTTATCTCACGCATTTTTTTTAAACATCTCGCACTGCTATGCGTATAAAGTATGGATGTACATGAAACACACGTTTACGCATATCCTGTAACGTTACTTCATCAATTTCCATCGTGAAACGCAACACGCTCGATGAATTAGAGAAAATCGAGACACCCCTATGCGAAGTGAGTTCTCGAATAGCAAACGCGAGACCAAACAGGGTATGGTCGAGTGGGGTCGCGTACGTACACTTCACGTGGCTCAGTCGTTTGTATGGGAATGGCTAATTCGAGGAACGGGGAAATACGAGTTGAAGAGACTGACAAGTAGAGGAGGGTTCGCGAAAATTAGCCGAGACAATAGAAGACAGTGGCAGATGCAAATTCGACGCTTGAATCCTCGCCTGTCGCGGGTATTATTGTCCGATCTCGAAACTCGAAGGGCCACGCATATGTTGACGCACTTCATGGACAGTTACGGACGGTAAATCCTTTTCTTTCTTGGCCTGACAGCCGATCGTGAATATTAATGTTGGCGTAGGAAGTTGGGTATGGCTGTGATGCATTCTTTCGAAAAGCATAGCTTTCGTTCGTATTTTATTAATATCGATGTTTATTTAAGTTAATCGAAAGAAGGGAATAATTTACATTGAAACGATAATTAATCGAAATCATATTATTTTAGAGTAGTAGTTTCAAGTAAGAAGCGGAAGGATCTAACAGCTCGTACGACCGATGCTCGAAACAGTGTAATTAACCGGTGCACAGTTACAAGCTGTTGCTATTGAGCTGTCGTGACGAGAAACGAGCATTTCCTTTCACGTGTGCATTGGTTATCCATTTCTTCCTGCCCCGTTCTTCCTCTAATTACGCACACAATGCGCATTATAAATCGTACACGCCTATTAATGTCGAATGGATCGCGCGCCTCTTATATTTCATCGCTTCGCCTTTATAAATAAAAAAAAAAAGGAAAATAAGACATGAATTTTATCGAACAAAGCGATCGTTGTGTTACGTTTAATTTATTATCAAATTTAATACGATAAGATCGTTTGAGTAATTGATTTTTTCCAGATTAAAACTAGAGATCGTAGATCAGATAAGCCCCGAGGCTTTCCCATATTAATTGAACAGCAAAGCCAATATCAAACTACGATCTAATAATAGTACATCCGTTTAGAATGTAAGTCCACCAGTCCGGAAAATTGCTGTTCCGTCGTTCGTTCCGTCGTTTATTGCGACGATCATCATCTTCGCGTTTTGCCTCCTTGCTTGTCATTCCTATTATTAGAACAGAAAAAAAAAAAAAAAACGAAAAGAATGACAAATGTGCAATTTACGTATCAAGATAATTTATCGTTGCATCATCGACCGTAATAAAAATGATTTAAATCGGAATTAATTAGAAATCATCGATCTTACCATTTATAATTTCGAATCTTCGATTGACAAATTGACAAATTTATCGGGTATATTTAATGAACATTTAGATAATAGATCGAAAAAAATGTGGATATATCGTCAACATGCAAATACGTATGAATTTTTCGTTTCTTCGATGCTTTCCATAGCTAGTCGTTTATGCCCGTTGCTCACGTTCAGGAAACTTGTAATCGATGCCATAAATGTGAATTCCGACTAATTTGTCGGTCGTCTAGCAGCTGCCGTCTTCTCTTTTTTTCCGCCACAGTTCCGCTGCACGATTCTTGAAAT